AACTTGATGCTATTGGTTTGTAATACTAAAGGTAATTTTAAGCCACATCGGTATCCATCAAGTGACTTGAAAGTGAATAAATTGTCGATTGATTCCTTCTTATCGCCTTGTTGTACGAACCCAGTCAAAGTACTGAAACTGTCTTTACATGAAACAGTCAATGAGACTCCATCAGCATTAACAAACTTCACTGATCTATCAGTTGACTTTGTATCTGGAACCAAACCATAAATGAATGTTTCCATTTCTTTGTTAAATTCCTTTTTCACCATCATGACTCTATTCCTCTTATCATTATCAGTGAAAGACATTCTATTATGTGCATAACATTCAAGGTGAGACAGTTGATGAATGAGTAATTCTTTGAGGTTTGGCGCAACAACAGACTTGATGCCATTAAAGGCAAGAGTAATCGGAACATTATCATCAATAGTGACCAAATCAATGCTGATTGACTTGTTGGTAACTGGAGCAACTTGGTTACTATTTACAGTCACATCTAGCTGCCAGCTACAGGAATAGTCGTCATAAGCCCAAGGGTCATCGGCAGCTGATATATGCGTTTCAGGACCATCAGATAAACAGTAAAGAGTGTAAGGTTTACCTCCAACATTGAAGCCAACTGACACGTAACCACCTTCTCCTTTCGTGCGATAGGCTGAAAGAGAAACACTTAAATGTTCTGCTCCATCATCGTGACCAGCTCTGAATGTAGCTTTAACCACATCAGTAGCAGTACACTTGGTTGTGCCATCACGGTTAAGACAATAAGTTACACCGTAAAAGCATGGATCATTTGGGTCGTAAGCAAGGAAGGCGAATTGAACAAGTGAAAGAAGGATTGCAGAGAAGAACAACATTTTACTTGATTCAGTCAATAATTAGTTACTAAATTGAAGTCACAATTGATTCTGATAAAATTCAAGAACAACTCATTTCTTTTTACATATTTCAGCATCAAGTTATCAACTGACTATCAAGATTATTATTGACAATTGAATATGACTCGATGTTAAATTTTATCATATGATATGCTATGATTATTCAGTCGTTTATTGTTCGCGTATCTATTTCAAGTGTATTTTATTGAAAATAGAATAAATAAATCAATAAACTATTCGTTTTCGACGTTACATTTAAGACAATTTGGTGCATCTTTTGTCTAACAATCATCGGCAGGGCTAATCAAATGTTTTTCCCTGTTTACTGCAATTGAAACAATGCAAGATTAAGGTCTAGTAGGTTAAGTATCTTTTGTATCATCCAAGACAATTCAAACAATTTAGTACATTTTTTGGTACAGCATTTTTTAGTACAACAACTCACAAAGATAAACTGGATTGAACGAAAAAGTTGGCCAATTGCCTTTAGCTTCAGTTCAACGCTTGGACTTCAACTTAAGTCTCATCATTTAGCAATAAAATCTCGATAAAGATGCTGACGAAAGAAACTGATCCAGTGATAAATAAATACTAGTATAATAATTTTATTAGGTAGAATTGTTGGACGAATTTATGTTTCAACAAATTGATAGGAATTAAATTTAATCACAATTACGCTGAATATTTTATATTTTTGAAATACAATTTTCTAAAGTTAAAAAAATAGAATAAGCAAATTTTTAGTTACGGTGGCTGTGATTTACAGTCTGGGAAAAATCGTGCATATGACTCATCAGTCAAGAGTGAGTTGATTGGATTGTGAGCTATTGTAATTTACAGCCGATGTAGCTAAAATTTGCTTATTCGATTTTTTTGCACGTTAGGTGTCTGTACACCAAAAACACAATTATACGAGTGACGTTACGTTAGTATAAAATGTTTTGAAATAACATAATTTTGTCTTTAGTACCGACTCCGATATCGATATCCTACTCTGAGTCAACTATTCCTCTATGTGAGTTGAAGCCTACATGGCTTTTTCGAACTTTTTTAATAAATTGCAATGGCTATTTTTGGCTGCATAGAATTAAATTTTTATTGATTCGAATGTGAATTTGGTAAACAGTTAGATGATATTAATTTGAGCTTCTATACGTCCAATAACGAAATCTCTCAAGCTTTGTAGCCTTCAACAGATGAATGTTGCTTGAACATTTCAAGACTTTTTTTAAATTTTTTGGATATCTATTGTAAAGTAGGGATCAGCTTCCCCTTTTGCAGTCAGACCCGCTTGAACATTTCATCACTTTCTTTTTCCTCTCCCTCTGATTTTTTCGCCAGATTTTTTTGGAATTTCTTTTTGCGCATCCATTTGTAACTAAACACAAAGTTTATATGAGTTAGAATTTTTAATTGAAATTGTGAGATTGAATTGCAATTTAATGATCAAATTGAAATAAAAATACTGAAATGAGAGTAAATAAAACAATCAGTTATAAAGATACAAGTATGTAATTCTGCTAGAGACCAGTTGGTTACTGGTAACCGGTTAGTTGGTTAGAGGGGGGGGAAAAGTAACCAAGTATGGTTACTATAACCATTTACTATAACCGGTTACAAAATAACCGGTTACTTGCTGGTTACATTGAGAGGGAAATTTGAAAAGAAAGTAAAGAAAGTAAACAACAACTTTCTAAACACATTAATAGATGGCGCTGATAAAAGATGGAAAATCAAACTTTTTATTTTTGAATTTGGCGGTAAGAAATTTGTAACCAGCAAGTAACCGGTTATTTGTAACTGGGGGTGAAAGAACCACAGTTACTGGTTATACTAATCAAACTAGCCTGTAACCGACGCATCTCTAGTTTCTGCAATACTATCGCTTCTTCGATATAAATCGATACAAATTGATACTTGCTCCGATTATATCGGTATCAGTCGATACTTTCGAACCGCTTGATTTTGCGCTGATAGTAGGTTGCATAAGAAAGTTTGGTGAAATTCAGTTTAAGCCGGTACTAATTAGCTCAAGCAGATTCGATTTTAAGAGAAAATGAGAATCAAAAAATGCCTAAAACTAACAAAATTATGTTTTCTCAACTCTGCGCCATCACATCCAAAAATAGTATGCAATTTTACTTATTTTTACGATATTTTACGATTTTGCGATTTTAATTGATATTTTTCGATATAAGTATCGAACGATATAATCTTTACTTTCCTTAAAAATATTGTTTCTTGCGATCCATACTAGAAAAAATATCCTGAAACACTAAGTTAAGTATAATATGAATACTATTTCAGATGAGGAACTTCAGTCAAAACAACTCACACCACGTGAAGGTAGTTCCTTTTGTGTTTTGGGTAGGTTTTTATACTGATCACCCTCGCCTCCAGTTTTACCAGTCGATGTTATATACTTTTTGCGAAATCATGCAAGAAATTGCCAATTTTTTTTTGCTTTTTCTTAAAAAGAATGTAACATCGATGGCAAACAACAGCTTCTTGAGAGTTGGAGCACAACACTTACAGTTTTTCTCACTTAATTTTCTTTCGAAAAACTGAAGCGTTTAGGCATCCGTTAAAGGATATCTCCTGCAAGATTTTTTTATTTGCCCAAATATTGCCTTTTCCCTAATGTAAAAAGAAAGTTTACATGAGTGAATGACTTCAGCTTTCCATAGCATAAAATGCAAGATATAAATAATTTTAATTAAAGCCATTTAGGAAATCAACGGCCAAACTTATCTCAACAAATCTTTAGAAACACTCCCTCAGATTTTAAATTTTTTTTAGCATTAGCGAATGCTTTATAAAAGCCGGCTTTATTCCGACCAAGGAATGCAGCAGGAAATTGCAGCGGACATGCTCCGTCTCACAGATAAAGAAAATAAGTTGGCTGACATTGTTATTAACAATGGACTTATTTGTGGTTATCGACACTTAACCTATGATGAAGTTGCACATTCCCTCCCTCAGTCGGACTTAAATAAATTGTATTATTTGCAAAAGGGTCTTTCCAACTGAAGTATTGCGCAGCTTTTTTTGCTGAGCCTCACAATAGCACCGATCATGAATGTTTGCGCTTTGAGAGGTACAACCGCTTAGAGACTACAATGATGTTCAGAAGTAATAGAGATCCGATCACGTCTACTCAAAACGAAAATTCCTTCTCGTTATTATGAGAGCACTACAAGATTTTGTTTCATCCTTATCGATGACTCAAAAACTGGCATCGAAGAGATCGATAAACATTATTGTACATAAAAAGCTGGCAGGGAAACACTGGGATGTTGCGCACATTTTAACTATGTTGTGGTTTGGTTTGATGGGATGGAGGACAAATCCAAGAGTCCCAGCTCACCTCAACAATATTTCTCGACGCATATCAAACACTGATACCGCTACCAATTCTTCAGACTCGAATGGCCACTAAACATTTTGTATTATATATTCATTTATATCTTGTTAAAATTAACATATTTACATTTACATTTTTCTACAGTAAAATTTTTAAACTTCATACATTTTTTCACAAATATTTATTCGCTTTAAACATTTTGACATACCAATGTTCGTGTAATAATAAAATAGAATAGTAATAGAATTAGCTTATAAAAAAGTAAGACTTTGGAATAGAACCATAATCTGCCAAAAAATATCGCAGCAGAATGATATACCGCGTGTTCATTTGCCTACCACACAACTTTTTTTGCGAATAACTTTTGGATGCGTTGATGGATCGATTTGAAATTTTGTATTTATTTTTCATCAAAAAAGAAAGAAGTTAGTCAATTAGTCAAGAATATTTTCAAAGTGAGATCCTTCTGTGGTAATGACATAGCGAATTCGCTTACAAAAATGTTGGGATGACTTTAGGGAAAATTTCCGTTGGAATACTTTCTATGGTAGTTTTTATAGCTGATTTCAACTAAGATAATGATTTCGGGCGGTTCCTATAAATGTTATCGAAAAGAGAAGAAAGACAAAACTTACTCTTGAAAGTACTGTTTATACTGTCTTGTTGGTTCTCCGACCTAAAGTTACATGGTAAAAAATGACCCTTTATATCCGGTCATAGTTGAACTAAAAATTACAGGTTTAATGGTAATTTATTAAATTGTTATATTAAGCATGAAAAATGATATTAGAAAATTATCTTATAAAAAAGCGCGTGAAATTCTGCCCAGTATTTCTCGTTTACTTTTAATGTAAGCAAAGTGAGTGAGAAGTTGGAAAAGAAAGACAAAAAGAAAGAGATGAATAGGAGAAAGAGAAAAGAAAGAGGCTGGCTTCACACAAGCATTTACAATATAATATTGAATAATGGCATTTTTATATCAACAGTTTTTACTCTCTTTTCTCTTTCTAATGCCACGAGAATATTAGTCGTGATGGACCAAAAAGTTGATTGCTTGTTTCGATGAATTTTCGGCAAGTCTGTTGGATGATAGTGGGATCGTTCACATCAATATTATCAAAGTACTTGGAAAAATTTGGATAGTTTTGGACCTTTTTGGAAGAGTACACCATGTATTGGATTTCATTATATATGTGAAATGAATGTGCTGAAAATTATGGAGAAGAAAATGGCTTTATTCGAGTTGGAATTGGCATATCAAAATCTAACGGATGATAAAAAGGATCTCAAATACGTTTCAAGGGAAATGATCAAAAGCCCCATTTATTCTAATGTTGATTATAAAAGTTTTGTATTTTATATACGAAGCTTTTCTAATTTGTAAAAAATTAATAAATGAATTATTCAACAATATTCATTCTGTTGAGTTCAAAAGTAGAAAAAAGAAAGAGAAAAAAAGCACGGCCAGCGCCAAGGAAAATTGCGCTATACCGTGCTTTTTCTTACTACTCTCGAGCATGCAGTTCGCATTATTGGCTGGAGGGTTGAGAATGGCGTTGACTGCTGACTTGTTGCTAATTCCTGGAACACATATTGGGGTGATCAAGGGAAGTTTATTCATCAATCTCAGAGTGAATACAAACAGAAAGTGAAAAATAAATGTATGAATGTCTCTCATCTTCTTTCTATACATTAAT